GAGGGGGATATATCCCCCTCGGGAAGGATTGAGTACCGCCCCAGATTTACTTGGAGGCCGTCGTCACTTGTGGTGTATAGTCTGCACCCGACCTCTTCTGAAAAGGAGGGTATCTAAAGCGTATAGTGTGTCCATACATTTCAAAACATTCCATGATTCCATAGTGTACCTTCATTCAAAACGCAGATCTCTACTCGATCTCTTTCTAACATGCAACAAGCTTGGAAATGGCTTGAAGCTCTCCGAAGCATAACCTTAAGCAGGCGAAATGAGCCCATAAGGTGCTTAAACTCCGCTCCCTATTATAGAAGGTTTACCAAAGAGCTTGAGCATCCTTCCAACGAGAACTCTGATTGGGAACAAAGTGGAATCAATTTTCATTCTACGGTAGCTCGGGCATTCTGTATTACATCCCGTGAACAGCAGTTCGATGGCAAATAGCCATGAAACCGCTCTTCATGATTAATCGACCGTTTTCTTTTTATGGAACGCGTGACATCGTTCAATCCTGCCACCCGTTTGTCAGCTTACTGTTCCTATTTAAATGAATTTTGTTCTATAACTGTTGCGTAGCTCTTCGAACATTTATTGCGCCACTGACGTTTGTTTTTGCAGTTCGAAAATTGATGTTTGCTGCCTTGTTGCGGTTAATTTCCCATTTTAGGCTTCTGTGGCGATCATGGACACCCGGCAGGGCCCATTCAAGGTAATAATTCTAACAGGCAGATCGTGCTCTCAGAGTAATTGTCGTGGATTAGTGATTTTCAATTACTTTTTTGGTCATTAAAAGTATAAGTCTAGACTCGCAGCTGCTTTTCTTAACGTGACGAGGTCTATTGTCGGATCGCAGGAACTCGTCCATCAATTGATGGTCGCTGCAGCCAGGTCGTCCAGTTCGATATTGAAGCTAAGACCTTTCTTGCGTACTAATTCCTGACGCCATGTATTTTGGATGGGTCTCCTTGAACTGCTAGAATAAGACTGACCCTACTTCTAATCGCTTTAGGGTCCAACATGTCATTCGAACATGAAAATGATAGTCGGGTTAACTTGGTGTAAGCGAAAACGAGTGGGGTTTCGAATCCCAGACATGTGGCGGATTAAGAGGACTCATGCATTTATAGAGATTACTCGCCATTTCCCATGTCTTTTGATAAGTTATCACGGCTTAGAAAGGTGGCTAATAACCTCAAAACTTATCCACGAAATTGGCATAAAGCATCTGTGGAGCAGGGTGAATAACGGTCGAGGAATTCCTCGACCATGCTCTCTACTGTGCGAGAGTAGTGCCGAGAGTGAATGTACGCGCGGAGAGCACAGACGGCTCGCGGGTGGCGAGAGTGAATGTCCGCGCGGGAGAGCGTGACTGACAAGAAATCCTCGACGAGCCGTTGTCGTTTTCCTCAACCGATTTTCACCCTCCTGTGGAGCTTAAATGTGCTAGGTGTTTTCGAAAGGAAGTCAAAAAAGATGACACAGAAACTGAATGATGTGCAAAGGGAAAGGAGCGGGACCTCGCTGCTAAAAACCTATCCATCCCTGAGTTACTATGCATAGCGAAACGATAATAAGTGTCCCACAGTGATTGTCCTACACTGAACGATAAAGGCGGGGATTGTGTTGTCATGTGTGGTTCCAGTTGCACTTATTTCGCTTTGTCAACAGGCTTTCTTTGGAAATCTTCCCTACGATGGAGTTCAAGGAGATATTGAACAGATCCTGAGACACATTGGATTCACGAATGACG